ACTCTGACCCACAACTTGCCCTCTCATGGGATAACCGTGCTTGGCAGAGACGGCTTCAATATGAAAGTTGAAAACAGCCACTTATGAAAAGCTGTCCAGTGGATGACTTACCTTAAAAATATTTTTGCTGAAGATAATAATATTTTGAACAACAACAACAAAAAGTGAATACACACAAAAAAAAACTTTGGAGAAAAAAAATTTTCACAGATGTTTTTACTATAGTACTAGCATTAATCTTATATCTACTATCTCCTGTAGGCTCTATGAAAATATTAAATGAGCTACAAAGAAAATAGGTTAAGATTTGTCATGACATTTTATATTTCTTCCTGAAAACATGGAAAAATATCTTTCCTTGTCAATGACTTACATATAAGCTAAGATTACGATGTAATAAAATTGCTTAACTGGATTTTTCAAGATGAAAAAGTTGAACAAACTTATAAACATATTATCTAAAGTAGTAAGTTTAATAAATGTATTTTCCCACTGATTTACAAAGTGACTTTTCCCACTGAAAGTGGGTACTGCACCTAAAAGCCTCTAACGGAAGTATAGCCCTGAGCATCCACAATTCTTCATTGAGTTACGTTTGTTTTCAGTCATTACGAGATGTCTAATGGGTTTGGTACAGCCAATGACTTGAACGTTTATCCTAAAAATCCTTTCTGCGGACTTGGTGTCATTGCTCTTTCTTCAGAGAAGGGTTTATCCTGTCCCTACTTTCAAATGGCCGTGAAAATTCACCCATTATTTTCAGGAATGGTAGACGAAGTAGTTCAGAAAAACCTCCCCACTGTGAATAACTGGTAAAGCTGGACATGATACAGAGAAACAAGCAAACACCAGCTATATGAAGACACTGAGGAGCTGATAAGACGCAATTACAAAAGGACAAACTGTCAGAGACGGGCTGGCATCTGAGGCCCGTGGTCCCCGGGAGAGGTGGCCTCACAGAGTTAGAGGCCCAACTTCAGATCAGCTCAGTTCCTGTTAGGAAGGCTCCTCAAAAATAATCAGGCATACTAGAGGAACTTATGACTGAAAGCTAAGAGAAATGGTAGATAATAAATGATTATTTAAAAATCCAAATCGACCTACAAGAACTGGAAAATACAAGAAGTAAAATGTAAACTTGATATATAGGTTTATCATCACCAGAATGGACGTATAAAGAAGGAAAGGTGAAATGGACACAAAATTGATAGAAAACACCCAGAATGAAATCAGATGCACAGAGAAGCCAGGGGACACCAAAGGCAGCAGGTCCCCAATTCCCGGAAGTGGAGGACGGAGGAGAATTCCCCAAAGCAGATCAGGGACCTCAAGTCCTGCAGCCCTGCGGCTAGCAAACAGAACAACACTCGGCCCGAGAACGGCAGACAAGGACAGCAGCCACCCAGAGCCCGCCTGGGTGGACGTGACATCTCGTCTTCCTGGTGCAGAAGCATCCTTCCCCAGGCTGCACCCTCTGCCAAGGCTGTGCTCGCTGCCAGGGGCTCCCGGCGTCCCCACCTGCACCATCACAGGACCCGCGTCCAGGGCTGACAGCTCTCATCAGCCTGCCCCAGGGCTTCCCAGACAGGGCCCTACCGTGTGAGCTACTGCAGGTTTAACATTAAGAAGATCATTAGGGCTATCAAACACGTGTGTTTCAAACCAATGTCTCAACTACAGGAGCATGGAGGCTGACTCCCACGGGAGAACCTCAAAACGCTGACCCTGTGCTCCAGACGGCAGTGCTCTCCATCTACGTCCTTTAAGATGAGGAAAGTGTGCCTGTAAACTTGCCTTTTTCAACATTTAAATTCAATTACAAAATATTTTTTAGAGAGTAGCGCCCATCTCTGTGCTTGATGGACCCTGATCTATACCTGTATATAGTACATACTGATAGATAAAAACATGACTACGTTAAGAAGTCTCAAACCTCACTTTAACAGCTCACTTTTAACTTCCTTGTTGAAATCTGACAAGGAAGGAAAAGGAACTGGCGAGGCCTCGGTGTCAGTGGGGAACGGGCAGTGACTGAGGAACCACCCCAACCTGCAGACCAACGTGGAATTCGGAGGTTCCAGGTCGGAACCTTGCATCCGGCGCCCCAGTGCGACCCCGCAGCTCCCCAGGGCGCCTGTGATACCCGGCAGCCAGGGTCAGTGCTTTGCTGACTCCGTGCAACATAGGCCATCGACACAACCTCCTCTCCCACGCCCACAGCCATGGTCTCAAAGTCCAGAAGCGGTATCTTCAAAACCTAAAGCTGAATTTTAAGAAATTTCTGTCGTTCTTCATTTTCACCTGTACGGTGACAGGCCACGACCATCCATCTACCTGAACTTGTACTTCTAAAACGCTGAACCCATTAGCAAACAAATCGGGATGTTAAGCTTTTGTCTTCATTTGAAAAGAGTCTAAACAATGAAATTAGTTTGTACAAGAAGTGGTTAGAAACAAACAAAAAAAACCCTTCTTCCAGGATAGATGACTTGTTTAAACTAAACAACGTGCCTAAGGCACAAACATGGTTTCCAAACTTTGCTTCACGTTACAACCACCTCACAAGTTCTTACAAATCCTGGTGCCCAGGGTGCGCCCCACATGAACGACCACGGAGTGGCAGGGGTGTGGCAGGGGCACCCCTGCAATATGCACGTCCCCAGGTGATGGTCAAGTACAGCAGGGCTGGGACCACGGCCCGAAGGCTTGACGGGGTCTGGATGCACCTGAGAAAAGGCTGGGTGCTGAGGGGACAAGGATGAGAAGTGGGTCAGGAAGTGCCGTGTGAAAGACGGGGGGCTAGCTTCTCCTCCCTGTGTGCCCCTCCAGGCTGGAGGGTGCTGGCTTCCGCCTGTAAAGGAGGGGGCTGCACCGGACAGGCGGCTCCCAGAGCCTTGTGGGCAGCTCACCGCCATGGTCCTCGCATCCAGGGAAATGCCGACCCAGAGGGCCTCAGGGAGGACCAGACCGTGCATTTCAAGCCCCCAGGTGATTCTTTCCTCAAGAACCGAGCCAGCAATCCTCCCAGCACCAGGGCTCTGTGATTCTAAATGAGGCAGGCAGAAGGCTTCCTAATGCTTTGTAAAGACGTCCAACATAAGAGTTAAAACAAATTTGAGCAAGCTACGTAATTTATTAAACTGTTGTTTGTGCTTGAGTGTGTCAGCTGAAGGAAGATATGTGTGTACTGAGGTATACATTATTTTGTACTTTTATATAGTTTTCCTTTTTGACCACTTATGTTTTATTAATATTCATAACGGTACACCTTACACCATACACCTGTGCAGCACGCGTCATGATGCACAGAACAGTGGGACAGAAGTCAGACAGATACTGTCTCCTGTTTCATGGGCCCTCCAAGGTGGATGTGCCACAGGACAGGGACACTGTTCCCATCCAGGACGCATGTCTCTCACCCAGCGTTCCCCTACAGCCCCAGTTCTCAGCTAAAGGCTATCGTCAGGGAGAAGCCAGGCAGGTCAAATGTTTGAAATATTAACTAACTTCCCTAGAGGGAAAATGAGAACCTTAAACTCATGCTTTGTGTTCAGACAGGGTGGAGTGTGTTTTTAATGGTAACAAGTAACTCAGCGTTTTTCACTGGGAAGTTTTCCCCAAAATGCAGGCATAATATCGAGTCCTGGGACAACAGAGATGGGTAGGCACAGCCACTGCCCTGAGCAGACACCACGGGTGGGCGGGGGGCAGGCACACAGATCAGGGTGTGCTCACCCAAAGCACCAGTGGATAAAGGCCGCCCGGGATATGTGTACACACAAACAGCAGTTTTGCTTAATAAACAGCGGCCGATCAAATGTCACAAAGGTTTTTTTTCTCTCTTTTTCTTTTTCCCCCCCAAAGTAAAAAGGTTAACTGGCTATACAGCAAGTAGGAAGATTGGGACACCAGGGGACAAAACATAAATGCAGCCACCGAGTCACCAGCTTTCCACAAAGCCACACTCACCGGGCAGGGCCAGAAAGCTGTACAGAATCAGGGACAGTCGCTACAATCACACAGAAAGCCAGATGCCTGGGGTCCCCTACACAGGGCGCCTTGACAGTTTCTCCCCCCACAATCTGTTGTTCTGCTGGAAATGGGGTTCCTTTCCATTTTTTTGCTACTTTTTATTTTTCTGAGACAAACCAGAAAGCACCCATAAAGAAACCTGAGTTTCTATAACTTACAACAGATTTGCATGAAACCTGTCACTTAAAGCCTGTTTTAACCATTGCCAACAGGAGGAAGGCGTCACGTTTCTCTTTGCAGGTAGAGCCAGGCGCTCACCTGTTTGACCTGCCTACTGGGAGCTGGACGCCCCAGCGCAGACTGTTTGCTGTCACTGCTTTCCTGTCCTTTGTCGCTTGTTTACCGGTACGGTTTCCGTATCGTTTGGAATTCACATTTCACTACACTTTGCCATCCTGGCCTCATAAAAATGAGGCACAAGACAATGAGTGGGTAATTTCAAGTTTAAGGACTAGGAGTAGATGCTGAATAATCAGCACGTTTAAAACCCTCCTGACATTATTCACGGAAGCCCACGGTGTCATGGGAGCGCTGAGTGGCTTGAAAGAAACAGCTGGATTCTAAAGCTGAAGCCCAGAGCAGCGGGTACCCCGAGTGCCGGTGTAAAAACCTCTCACTCCGATGCCTTGAGCTCAAACCTGATTCGTTCATCAGGAAAGACCTTTGTGTTCTCCGCCTCCTACCTATACAGCTGCTGGCACCACCAGCGTTCTTTGCTCCAGAGAAGCTGTCAGCTTCTTCACCAGCGAGAAGAGCATGGAGAAAGCTTGTTCCATCAATAGTAACTCTGTCCTGAATGTGACCAGCGCGCAGAGTTTTACTGTCAGTGTTGCAATCTCTACCCATAATTATTTGTTTTAAATAAAATACAAGCTGGACAGACTAGTTTATGTTCTACAGACCCAGAGTAGGCCAAGCTATGATGTGGCAGCATCGGAAAGGTTAAAATAATATTTTCGCACACCGACCTTTTGGCCTTGGCCTCTTCTCTTTGATTCCTCATGAGGTCCGTTGAGGTCCCTCCAGCCTTCCCGCGCGCCTTCTACGCCACCAAGCCGGGCTGGTCCATTTTTAACATCTAAAATCCAAGTGCACTGAAGGTTAGCTATAGCTTTACAAGGACCCAATACTAACGTAACTTAAGCAAACTAAATATCTGAGGACTGATTTCTTTGTGCAGACTGGTGATGTGAAAGCATGGTCCTTTTAGGGAAACATGGCAGATGTCTTGCTCTGAGATCTATTTGGAACGTCCTGTTTATTCCACTCCGATATTCCCAGCAGTTCACTTCACTCAAGGGTCAGAAACAACTGTTCCTGTCAGGTGACTGGTGCTAGTTCTACAGCATTCAGTTTGTCCTTTTGATAGTGCAAACGGATGCCTGTATCTCACGCACTAGTTGAACTCCAATTCTTAGAATCTCACGTGATGATGAAAACCCAGCTCTACAGAGAAGGAAGTTCTAATGTTAGAGGGAAGACATAATCTGAGCTGTGAGGTAAGTCTGAGTTATTCTAGAAAAGTCTTCGGTACAAAGGTTCAGGTTTCAATGATTCTGCGCCCTACAGATGTCCACCTTCGACCAGCGTCTTGCCATGAAGACACACAAGCAAAAAGAAGACACTCATCCAGTGGCATGTGGTTTCATTAACTGCTGAACAGTGCAGAGACCCCAAGTAACTCCAGTGAAGTGTGAAATGTCTCCTTTGAACTGACTCTCCTCCTCCAAGCTTACCTGGTGCCGCCGTCTCACTCTCCCCTCCCCAAATAGGTTACCTACTATATGAATTAACCATTATTCTGAAGGGCTAACACCAGCTGCCACTTCTTGTGGTCTCACGGGATACTGCACAGAGCTAGAGCCCACGTACGTCCTGCCACAGCCAAGTGATGGCTCGCCACCCCACACAGCCGCCTTCAGCAGCATTGCACTCAGGGGGAGACGCACTGTCAGCAACGTCTCATGACCGGGGCTGCCCGCTGCAGATGCAAAGTGCAGATATAGCCCCCATGGTCGGGAGCTGACAACCCAGTCGACAGTGCAGACGTAGATAAATGGATAGAAGGCAAAATAAGAACCATCGGAAATTAAAAATCATACAACACAAGGATGACTGCTTTGCAGATATTGCAAATAAAATAGAATGCTCTAAGAAAAGATATAATGAAGTTTGGAGGGTCTGATTTGAAAGTTTTAACTCTTTTCAAAAAAATTGGGTTCTAGTGAAGTGAAAACATAATGCAGAATGATGGGTGATTTTCTTGAATTCAAACTAGTTTTTGTTATTTGCAATGTGGGCCCTAAAAATGTCAGGCTCTGAACTACCATAACCCTAAGACTGTATCCCTTTGGAGGCTCATACCCATCACCTGCTGATACCATGATCTCGTCATCAAGTGATTGTATTTGGCTTGCAGGTGACTTCACTCCCAGTCCTACCTCAGTCCCAGATGACTGCCCGACTCCTGATGGCCTCAGTCCACTAAATAAAATTCTCACTTGGAGCAGATGGGTTAGCAGGCCAGGTAAAAGGATATCGTGCAGTTGGCATTTCGTTCTAAGTTCTAGCTATGCTAAATGTCTCCCTTTTACCCATTTTGAAGGTAAGATTATCTATCCATCCATCCACCCACCCACCCATCCACTCACCCACCCACCTATCCATTCATCCATCCATCTAAACATTACTTTCCACTACATTCAACAATCACTTTTTGAAAACACTGAGAACTCCTAACCCCCAGAGCAGGCCATGGATGCAATCTGTTTTTCATCTTTTAAGATCTAAAAGTAGTTAGGATATTAGAATTAAATTTAACTGTATCCACTATTCATTCATTTAAAAATAAATATTCACTGAAGCAAGAGTGCATAAAAATAAGAAAAGTAGTAGACTGAAGATATAATTTGGAACTATGTTAAAATAGGACATACAGCAGCCACTTGCCTACGTCCTAGCTGAGAACAGTGAAATGGGTGGTAAAGCATTTGGTAAATGAAGACCTAGAAAATTCATCCTAACTTTGTAAAACTTAGGAAAAGTCTCAAATTGCTAATGTTTTCACCTTTCACAAGATCACAAAATGAAACAGGTAAATGATTTCTTACGTGGTTATGTTAAAACATCACTTCACGAACTCCGCCAGTGGCGTTCTAGGTGATGCTATCGGTCACCCCCGAGCAGCTGAGCGTGCCGAGTAACTGAGCGCGCTCAGAGGAGAGCCGTAGGATCGACTCCCTGCCTCAGCTCAGTAAACAAACGTGTCCTCGGCGCCTTCCTGGCCTCCCACCTTCCCATGTCCCTGCTGTGTGGCCCGCAGGCACTGCCATCCCATAGGGCACCATCTGCTCCCTTCTCACCCCCAAGCATGACCGTGTCACCCCGCAAACGTCACCCATCCCTGAGTCCTCGTTCGGTGTCTCTTGCCGAGTCGTCCCAGCTGAGGCACGGCGTGATGATGTATGTGCCTCTAGTGGACATCCATGAAGGTCTCAGAACACACCCACGGGTGCCTTGCGGCTGCCCTTCCTTCACCAGCCCCCCAGCTGATGGACGCTCTGCACCATCCACATCAACGTCCTAAGTCCGGGACTCCCCGCTCCCTCATCCCTTCTAACTGCATTACCCAAGCAATTCATTTAGTTTTCAAGAAACGGTCACATACAGGCAGAGAAGCATGTCACAGCCCCTGGACGTTTATCGTTACACTGCCTGATGTTCCACCAATTAGCAATTTGTTGGGTTAACAATATCCAAGTGCCAAGACAATGAGGACAGAAAGGGAACTCCTTCACCTCTCTGTGTGAACCTGTTAAATCACTCCCTTCACCCACCCACCAGAGATAAGCAGGAATGAGAGACCACCTGCAGACTCAGGGAGGACCACTTCGGAGGCACAACCAGGCAAAGGCAGCACAAGGACCAACAGAACGAAAACGCTAGGAAAGGGACAGGTGAAGAAATGCAAGTTGAGAAAACTGTTAAGTGTCCCCAGAGACACAGGGCCCATGTCAAAGCTTTGCCTGGGGCGGCAGGAGCACAAGGAACTCTTACTTCCAACATCCTTCCTCCTGCAAAACCTCCTTTCCTGCCCCCAAGACACAAAATTAAGACTGATGGCCCCAGGAATACATTTAAGCAATTAATGTTTATTCATACAAGAGACTCTGCGACACCATGCCGTCATCAAAGACAAAACAGGCTTCTGAAGGCTGATTTAGGAATCCGCAATTTTAACGTACAGAAGCCTAGACACAATGTCAACATTCTCCCAATGGGAAGTTTCTTCTGAGTCCTTAAAATCTGAATTCTGAATTATTTAAGAACAATGTAGAATGAATGCAGAATCTTAAGACTATGAAAAGAGCCTTAAAAGACACCAAGAACAAATCCTTTCCAAACATACTTTTGGAATTTGGGATACATGCAAGTCACTCACAGGTTCTCTATAAGCACAACTCAGCTAACGAGAGAGGGCGAGAGAGGGAGGGATACACACACCCACATACATATACAGCTGATAAAATATCAAGTTCACACTGTGAACTACGAAAGCAAAAATAAAATCTAATGCTCTTCAAGAGATGATGGGGAATCCTTTCCTTTAGAATCATAGAGATAACATGTGGATTTTAAATATGTAAATTAGTTTTAATACTACATCACCTTTCCCACTGGCAGTAAACTCTGGGTCTTGGGAATTCCCTGATATACCTACTTGTCCAATGGTCATTCACACTTTCTCTTGAAGAAATACTGAGAACATACAAAAAATTCTATATTGAACAAGACTATCTAAGTGCCTATGATTGTATGGGGTTAGTTCTTATAAAGCATATGTGAAATATTTCTAATTCATTCCATTTTTAAAATGGTATACTTCCTGATGGTTTCAGTGAGATGCAGCAAATCATCAGTAAGATTATCAAACCTTCTCATATGGTTGCCAAACAAACCTGAAATTATAAAAGCAGTTCTCTACCTCAGGATTAGGAATTATGAGTATACAAAATCACGCATTTTTTACAATTACTATAGCATTTTTGCCTAGCATCACCCATCAACTGAAGTTATAATCTACATAAACCCCATCCCAAACCATGCTAACCGCTTCTCTAAGCAAACACTACTATTCACGTCCCATTTCCCTCAAAGCCAGGGTGAAGCCCATCATCCTCTTCAAGCCTGAGCTGCAGCAACCACCAACCTGGAGTCAGCAGACAGCACGGATCATTTCCCTGACGGGGGTGAAGGCACTGCGACAGAATGGCATTGTTATAGAGGCTGGAACCTACAAGTGTCTGTGCTAGTTTGTCTCCATTATAAACACCTGCTCCAGGAGGGCTCAGCTAACAGGCTAACGGAAACTCCACGCTCCAGAGACAACGCCTAGAAGTCCTTCGGCGCCATGTGAGATGCTTTGCTATCTGGCACAGATGAGAAAGGGGCTGGCATTAGTGATGCCATCAGCTTGTTAATCAGCGTAATGGAAGTCAGAAAAGTTAAATTCATGGATTCAAGCAAGCTGAATGGGCGACAATATTACAGGGCCAGAATCATCGAGCACGAGCTGTAGCTGGTATAGCTGGGGGTGACATCCAAGACTTGGTCCCTGTATGGCCCTATGAGAAGCTGCAAGGCTATCTGGTGGCCAGATACTGACAGTAATGTCACAGGAACGTGCCCCTGGAATACTGTCTGTCCCTAGGAAACCATTCACAGAAGGGACAATTAACCTAAAGGACAAGACCTGGCATGTCAGCATATAGGTCACTTCTGTGGACAGTTCCCCATAGGCTCACCATGAATGTGTGTGCGTGTGAGCTGCTTCCTTAAGTTCTGCTAGAAGGAGCTGGCAGAAGCATGCCTAACCTTCATCACCTCCAGTCATCGGCGACTACCATCTATGAAAGGGAACCTAACAGCCAGATGGGCCAAATATTTGGCTATTAAAACCAACTGCAGGTAGTGGTCTGAAGAGCTGTGGTCGGCAATGCCCGGGAAGCAGTGGTGCGGGGGGGCCATGCCAACAAATAAGGAACAGGAAACTTCCTGTCCTGTGGTGCCAAAAGTTGAAACAGGTGAGATCTCTATTCCCCCGCAAAACTGACGTGGACATAGCTCCTGGGCTCAGGCTAAGTTCCAGCATCAGACGATGTGAAAGGAAAGGGAATTTATTTCAGAAGCCACTTAACTGCACAACTGAGGGGCCTCGTCTGACCTTCACTGTACATGTTCACTCTGCAGTGTAAGTGGGGCGTGTGAAAAGCCACGTGTCGGGGAAGAATCTAACACAATTCCATAAATGCCTTCGAAGCAATGCATGCACCTGACAACCATCTGCTTATGGACATCTGCTTAGATATTGGTATTTGGCAGTACCTATGTGCATAAAAAGGCATTTCCCAAGGTGAAATATATGAAATCTTACTACGCGTCAGCCTAAACATTTGCAACCAATTCTGCTGATGGGAACAATACATCTGGGCCCCAATTAAGTGCAAAGGTACGCCTCCCCACCAAATAACACTGTTCTCCTTAGACCTGTATTACAAAAAATTGTACAATTTTGAGTTCTGCCAATAAATGTTGTGAAAATGTCTTTTTTCCCATTAAGTAGTTACATATCTTGATTTTGCCCCCTGGTCCACAAAGCCTAAAATATTCACTCAATTATTACAGAAAAACTTCACTGAGCCCTGAAATAGACTATTAAAAAATGAAGTACATGGGGCGGCCAAGTGGCACATTGGTTACAAGCTGGCTTGGGAGCAGCAGGACTCAGGTTCGGATCCCACATGGGCCAGTGACGCTGCGCCCTCTACAGCTAAGATGGTGAACAACAGCTCAACCTGGAGCTGGGCTTCCGTGAGTCGCCGGCAACGGCATAGGCTGCAGTGGGCTGCCATAAGCTACCGTGAGTGGCTGGCAGCCAGCGTGAGCAATGTGAGCCGGCGTGAGCTGCCAAGAGCCGCTGTGAGCGGCCGTCCAATGGCCAGTGAGCGACTGCCTCACCTGGGAAGAGCGCAATGACAATACCAATATGGGCCAGTGAAGTGACTTCCTCCACAACTAGACTGAAGAACAAAAGGTCAACAACTTGTCTGTTCCCCTTCTCCGATTCCCCAACACTGTTCCCTCTTCCAATTCCCCAATAAAATCTTAAAAAAAAAAAAAAATGAAGTACATCTATTGTTCTATTGATAATGGAAATATGGACAAATCCTTTTTTAAAAAGCAAATTTTAAAGCAATAGAATATAATCCTACACATGCAACATCTCAAAACATTCACTTGCATTTGTCTATACATGCATGCGTGTGCGCGCGCGCGCACACACACACACACACACACACACACACACACACACACACACGCAGAGACAGAAAATGTCTGGAAGGAACACACTGAACTGCTGATGGCAACTGTTCCCATCAGACCCTCTCACCAGCTTGTTTTCTCCACAAAGCAGCCAGGGTTACATTGGCAGCATAAATCCGATCTGGTTCCTCCCATTTAAAACCCCCAGTGGTTTCTCATCACACTTAAAAACAAGACAAACCCGCCCGGAGTCCTGTCAGGGTCTGGCTCCTGGCTGCCCCTCTGACCGCATTTCCTCTCCGTCTTCCTTCAGCCCACTGAGCTGCCGTGTTGGCCTCTGTGCCATTCCTTCCAGCATTTCCGACCCCAGGACATTTGCACTTGCTGTTTCCTCGGGCTCAAACCGGACTCCAGCAGTCACAAGGCTACCTCCTCTATCACACCCAGGCCTGTGATGTAATGTCACCTCCTCTGAGAAGCCTTGCCATCTGCACGTCTGTGGGTCTATCACACTGCCCACCTGTGGACATCCCAGTAACATTTTTTACTGTCTGTCTCCTCCTGAGAACGTAACCTCTATTGGGGGGGGGGGGGGATGGGGCAGCGTTTCCTTCTCTGCCGTCTTCCTGGAATCCAGGGGAGTGTCTGGGGCACAAGTAGCTGTAAAATGAACTATGAAAGGAGGTAAGTGGCAGGGCAGGACAGTAAAATTTTACTTTGTAGCAATTTTTGTTACATAAGCATATATTAGTGTGTTGTATTAGAAAGTAAAAGTTTAAAAAGAAAAATTATTGGCTAATACAATTTCAAAATTATTTAAAACAACAAAATTAAACATTCCTTCCTCCATTCCTGTCCTGTTCCTATATCTCTCTGAACCTGCTCGTGCGGCCTCCAATGCATTTACCACAGACACTCACTCACAAGGCAACAAGCAAAAGGGAACTGAAAACGGGAATTGAAAGAAGATCTTTATTTCAACATGAAAGACTTGGAGGCACAGCTTGGTGTACAGAACAGTTCAGCTGCTCCACAGTTTCAGCACACACAGAACGTTTACGGAAACTGCAGGCGACATGCTTTATATGGGGTGGAGTCCCAGGGGGGCGGAGGGGACCAGCTGGGCTGATGATGGACAGTTATATCAGGGGGTCTTGATAATCACCCTAAAACAAAGGGGTGAGATTTAGAGCCAACAATATGCGCGTTGGTCCTGTCCTAACAAGCAGTGCTTTTCTGTCTCTCTGGAATGACATAAACGAGGTGGCTCTAGAAGGCATTCTTATACTAGAGCACAGAGAGGTCTGTTTCTCTCTGGGTCACACTGACTCAGAGGGGGGCCCTGCCTGCAACTGCCTCGTGACAGCCCGCATCTCTGCCGGGACCGCTGCAGTCCGGGCCTCCACCTCTCCTATGTGCCCCAGACCTCAGGGCATCGTGGGCCTTGGGATGCGTCCTGGACAGGTCATACACCTGCGTCCCAGGACAATCACCCTCCTTGACACCACTGGGGTTACAGGGGGCACCACACTGTCGGAACCAGCTTTTCCCCCACTGAATTTATATTTGCATGTCATTCAACAGTATCCAAAAGCTTTAAAAATACACAAGATAAATACTGAGAATGTAAGCTTTGAGAACAGGATATTCTTAACTACTAAAACCAATTTGTATACATCTGCTGTTGCAAATTAACTTCAGGGCAGCATGATTTTAAAATAAATACTTGAAAACATGTACTAAAACGAATGGAATATAAAATATAGTTTGTCAAGTTTTACATATTTTCAGAAAGCTAAGCTATAAAAATTAGGTTAAAAATATACAAAATTAGTTCTTTCTGTGACGATTCTGGAGTGTTTACATCCAAGGAAAAGATATGCAACGCGTCTAAGATTACTTCTGCCCCCACAGCTTTTCCGTCTTGAAAAGGGTGGTTAAGACCATTCGAAGAGTAGAGAAATGATGACTACTCTTGGTCTTACTGAAAACTTAGCCCAAGCTTTAGGTAAAGATTGCTCAAGTTTACGATTTTGGCACTTTGATTGCTGAAACCCATTTGTGCTTAACATCAGAAAGTAAAAAATGTTTTCTGTGTTTGCTACAATTACATAGTTCATTAATGTGGTTACAATTACGGATTGGAATAAATCTATTTAAACGATCTGCTTAAAGCAAAATAAATAAACAAAGTCAAACAAGGCTTGTTACAATGAACTTCTTACCCAAGGAAAAATGTTAAATATTTCTTCATAGCTAACACTATCCAAAGTTTCTTCACAATAAATACTGGTAAGATATTCTCACATTTACTTTTTTATACCTTCCCTCTTCTTGATAGAATGGCTCATACTGCTTTAGTTTCCCTTCTGAATAAACGGCCTCACTGTCATGCGCTCCGTGCTCAGTCATAATGCTGTGTGACAGGAAAAGCTTTCACGCTAGTCCATCATTCGTACGAGGTATCGTATTTTGTTTTCACCTAAAGGAACTCAAGGCTTGCAGAAATGTATTCGTAACACCAGATTTGACCAATGAGCCGAGGAACTCCATAGGATGGTAAGCCATCTATCCCTAAAGAAGTTATCATTGGAAAATATCAGGCACACATTCTTTAAAATTAAAAAAGAGAAAAAAAGAAATATTTTAATTATGAGAAAGTTGTGATAAACTTAAAAGATGGATGCACTATTATATAATCCTCTAACAAAGAAACTTGGAGAAGGAGATTCACATACTCTCACTATACCCTTCACCTAAGTCTTCCTTTCCTCTGCCGAGTTTTCCACTTTATAATCACCTACAAAACTAGGTTATAATCACTGAGATTCACCTTCAGAGGGACTCAACGTTCTAGAAGTGGTATCTTCTTTCTGCTCGCTTTTTACGCCAACCAATCCTTTCGTTGCTTTACTGCTTCCATCTAAGGGCGTTAAATCCTCGTGACGTCCCTCCTGACGCGTGAGTTCCCTGATGATGTGAGGCAAGCTCCCCCCTTCAGGACACACATCTCCCCCTTTCTGAGTGTCAGCGTGTGGACTGCGCCCCGCAGTTTCTTCGGCAGCAGATGGCTGCTCAGCAGTCATACAACCCAAAGCTGCATTTGCTTCACCATCTCTCGGTTTCTGAAGACTGGAGCTGGTTTCTGCTGTGAAATTGGTCACATCAACTGATCTGAGGTTCTTTCCAATGCAAGAAAAATCAGACATTTTCAAGATGTTTGCTCTCTCCCTCTTAGAAAGACCAACTCTGCAGCGGACCTGGGCAGGGCTTGGGGACAACTGGCACCCAGGAAGAAGACTCTCTGAATTCCTTTCCTTGAGATTGTCGGGTGAGAAATAATCGTCATAGGAGGACCCGTCCCAGTCCAGACTCTGCACAGCAGCACTGCTGCCGAGCTGCAGGCCGCGCTCCGGCTGAAACAGCTGCAGTCTGGGCACAGCCGACCTCCTGCTGCTCTTTTCCTTGCGTCTCTCTTTCGCAGGGGGATGGAAGTGCTCTGACGTTCTTCTTCTCTTTGCTGAGGAACTCCTGGGCTGCAAATGTCCCGAGCAGTGGCCTGTTGTTGCAGATAACATGGGAGACAAACTCGCCTCATCACCCATCTCTTCAGCTGCTGCCTCAGATCGCTTCTTCTCAGGGGTGGCCACTCCGCCTACAGGACCTCGCAGCCAATTGATCTCTTCCTCTGAAAGCTGGTGCATAGATTTCTGAGGAGTTAACTGACTGAGGCACCTGGGAGATGCTGATGGATGAGTATTGCTTGTTGTCAATACAGGTGAAGAAACGCACATATCACTTTTAATTCCATCAACGAATCCTCCCGATTTCCTCTCCTGATTCCCACATTCTGAGTGTCCACCAAGATCATCAAAAGATAAGTGCAGATCACCAGCAAAGGATATATCTG